TTGCATTATGCAATTAAAAATCCTAACCAATAAAGTAGGGAATAGCTATCCAACTGTTGTTTTAGTTGTATTTTACTTCATATTATAGTTATATCAATGTAAATCATTGTTTTCCCTTGTGTTTCCCATTCTTTCCCTGCCATGTCGTAAAATGTGGTGAACCCATCGCTGTATTTGCTCCAAAGCAAATATTGGCCTTTCTAGTTACAGCAATCAATTTACTGAGTATGTTTGCTTAGTTTCCAGATGTTTTGTACTTGTAGTTTTTAAATGAACGAAAACCGATGCGTGCACATATGTTACTTTTGTGACAACATCAAAGTGATTTTGGTTTGTATGTTGAAAAAATACAAAAGACTAACATTCGAAGTTATTGAAATTCTTGAGTAAGAACAATCAGTTTTGGAATGTTAAAAGCAAAGCAATGGATATTAAAACGAAAATGTTAAAATTAAATGTTGAAATTGTTAAAATGTAAAATGGTTAAAATGGTTAAAATTGTTGAAATTGTTAAAAATGTTAAAATTGTTAAAAATTGTAAAAAGGATAATTAAAAATATCCAGTGTACCGGGGTTCGAACTCGTAATGTCTGGACTTGCAGTCCTGCGCGTTACCAACCGAGCTATCTGGACACGTTTCCATTACTCTCTGCATTGTATGTCATATAAAGTGAACAACATGGCGGTAACGATCGCTTCAAGTACTAGTAAGGGACTTTCTAGGAGATACACTCTACAATTTTGGTGATTCTTCAGAAATCGATAACAGAATATATAATACTAGTCGGTGAAGATTGTGGAAAATTGTTGATACCGTGGCGCGCGCGTATCGTTGTTTACAGTACTCGCGGGGCGCAGGTCATTGACCTCCCGCTTGCGTTGTTCCAACAGAGAAGAGCAAAATATCTGCCAGTTTTTGTGTCAGATTTTCAGTGTTTGTTAAAATCATATACAGGCATCCATGCAGCTATAATTCTTCCAACTAGTTCGTAGTTAGGTGAAATGTTTATAGGAATCACACGAATCGGTATCCAGTATCAGAGTATCATGGCCCACGGCCGAGACCGCGTGGACCAGCTGCGCTGGTACGTGAAAATGGTAGTAAATAAATTAATTAGCCAACAGCCAATCAACAGCCACATCTGCAAACATGACCACACCTGCTTGTATGCCCATATTTGGGCCTTCCCCCGAATTCCTTTCTTATTACGTCACGCGCGTACACCCCCACAGTACTTTCCTATGGGGACCACTAAAAAGCAAATAAAACGATTGTAAAAGCTTGTATCAAAAAAATTTAAAAACGCCTAAGGGTATTTACCCACTCTACCTCTATACGAAATTACAGGTAATTTCGCCCAAAAAATGAAGGAGTTGAATCAATTTAAAGAAGTGGCAGGAGGAGGAGGAGAAGGAGGAGGAGAAGAAACATCAGAAAAAGCAATATGGGTTCACCACCACTTCGTGGTGTGGTGAACCCATAATCATCAAAACCATGTCTCTACTTGTGTACTGCGCCATTGTTTTGAGTTTATTTCGACTGCGACACGGCGCTATCGCCGCATCAACACGCCAAATGTGCCGCGAAAAAACACCGCATGGAATGATGGGATACTGCTACCCACGCCGCGTCCGCCATCTTTGTTTACTTCCCTGAACGCTAATGCGAGAGATCCCCGTCAACTATCGCAAATTTCCATGTAACCTACGGACATCGTGAGCTAAAAAGTCATTAACATTGAAATGAACAGTTTATTGTTGCATTAGTTACGATAATTTTCGTGTGCTAGCCGGAGTTTCTGAAAATTAAGCGATCGAAGCGATCCTTTGTGAATTGCATGTGCTATCGACTGCTTTCATGACGATCGTCTGCATTTTTGTCTGTACGCTACTTGATTGAAGTTTTCCGTTAATCAAACTTTATTTTTTGCTACTTTCGTGATGTAAAAGTATGTACAGGCTGATGATTGTGCATGTACTCGTTGCTTGTTTTGTACGTAGCAAACGTAGCATTGTTTATGCGTTCGAGTAGAGCCTGCCGATAGCACATGATGTCTATTAACGTATCGCGGCGTTCTTCCAGTCTTGGAAAAAACGAAAAAAATACGTGTGTACGTCAACGAAAAAAATTAAAAGCAAATTTACCGATCTCAATAAAGTTCACTGTTTTTAATGCGTAAATGTGACTCGTGTTTGTATTCTTTGTGTCGTTATGTGTTCGATACCCTGTCCACCCCCCACCCCCATAGTTTCAATGAAGGCCGAGAGTTTGAGCCTCAGAGTCTCTTAATCGGAAAGGCCGGGTATTTGAAAAAAATGTGCTGACAAATTGGCTTTTCAAATAAGCGGCTTCTACTGTATACCTATACATTCTGTTGTTATCATACTATATCTTCATTGTTTGGTTATACAATGATATCAATACAATTGCTATTGCCTTTTAGATGATTGTTGTAAACTATATATACATTTCAGGGCTCGAAATCCTGGGTGCATGTGCGCCTTAGTGCACCCAAAATTGGAGCTGTGCACCCAATTCTTTTCTGTGGGTGCACTGGTGCACCCAAATTTTTGTAGGTATTTTTGTACATAATTGAATAATAGTATGCAGGATATTCTTGGCATCTAAGCGTCAGAAAAATAATAAAATCTTTGTTGTAATTCTTGTGTAAGATTTTGAAGTTAGCTCCCATTTCAGATTCAAGCTCAGAAGAGGAGCAGTAAGACCTGTTATTATGTTTTGTTTTATATGGTCCACCCAAAAAATTTTTGTGCACCTAATGTTTTAGGTTGGGTGCACCAGTGCACCTATTCCTAAAAATGAATTTCGAGCCCTGCATTTCATGTCCCAAACAGGCGAGATACGGGATGGACAACCAGGGGAACTATCGTAGTCAGTCCATGACACACATGGAGCGCGCCGTGGCACGGGGACAGATGAGTACCGTGGAGTACCACAAGAAGAAAGCCGAGATGGCGGAGACTCTGAGCTCAGGGAAGGATGACGGGAAGTCTTGTGTGAGAGGTACAGTAATATGAGTGTACTGTGTATGTATGTTGGAGCCTGTGCTGTCCAACAGTAGGATAGCTGCTGTTACATACTCTTCAGAGAGAGAAATAACTATTTTTTATGGGTTCACCACACCACGAAGTGGTGTGGTGAAACCATATTGCTTTTTCTGATGTTTCTTCTCCTTCTCCTCCTCCTTCTCCTCCTCCTGCCATATCTTTAAATGGATTCAGCTTCTTCATTTTAGGGCCTAAGGTCCTGAAATTTGGTATGGAGGTACAGTGGGCAAATACCCCTAGGCGTTTTTTAAATTATTGTGATACAGGCTTTTAGAATGGTTTTATTTGAGTTTTTTGGCTGTGTTATAGCAAATGTATTACTGTGTTAGTCTGCCTTGTTTACCACGTTTGGGCATGAGTCATCACAATGGAATGCAGGGCATCAACCAATAGGCATGCAGCTTTCCTCTATACTTCTTGCTGATTGGCTGTTGGGATTTAACTTGATTAACACCTGCACAGAGCATTTCCACCTGCACTAGAGCATTTCTTGCTGATTGGCTGTTGGGATTTAACTTGATTAACACCTGCACAGAGCATTTCCATACTAACAGTATGTCTGTATTCAAGTGTTTTGGTAGGTACTAGTATTTCAAGCTTTCCTGCTCCAGCATTGGAATGCCGGGCATGAACGTTTTTTTTTTTATTTTGAAAATCAACAGTTTGCATTATGCAATTAAAAATCCTAACCAATAAAGTAGGGAATAGCTATCCAACTGTTGTTTTAGTTGTATTTTACTTCATATTATAGTTATATCAATGTAAATCATTGTTTTCCCTTGTGTTTCCCATTCTTTCCCTGCCATGTCGTAAAATGTGGTGAACCCATCGCTGTATTTGCTCCAAAGCAAATATTGGCCTTTCTAGTTTATGTTTACCTTCACAGAAGGAAAATATATTGTTTCTGCTCTGTTTCTTCATCTTCCCCAAGGAAATACTTTTTATACTATCATGAAAATTCATCTGTGTTGGTAGTTACATGTTTAAAGTTAAAACTTTAGATCCAACACAAGTGTTTTCTCATTATTGTAGTAAAGTAAACATTTCATTTTATTGTGTTGGATCTTAAGTTTTAACTTAAGACAAATAACCTTTCCTCTAATAAAGGATGCACCCCAAATAAAGGGCGCACATCCGATTTGGGCTTAATCGCAAGAGCCTACAATGTATTACTAGGCAGCTGAGATAGTCCACATGAAAATCCCCTATACATGTATTTGATCACACTGCACCCTTTGATAAATTCCCGATGTTGTTCTTTTGTCACAGAAAATTTGACATGGCACTGAACTTTGTTTGTGAATGGCTTGTTCAGGTACATATACAGATCTGGATATGTACTTTTAGGCCACACCAATTTAATTTCTTGGTTAACGGATTTTTCTAGAAAAATAATGGAGCGGGCTGGCGAAAACAAAATAAAAATAAAAACAGGCCTAGGCATCCTAATATGGCCCAAAATGGTACGATAGGAGCCATGAAGTCAACATACCAGGCTGGTTCAAAATTTAAACAATGAATTTTGAAATTTTAATGATACCACTGCATTGAAAGATGGAATGACTGTAAGTGTAACAAGTAGTAAGAAAAGGACTGTTTTCAACAGTTCAGGGCAAAATATGACCATTTTGCAGTTGATTCTGAATTTATATTTTTATATGGAAATCAGAAAAAAATTAAGCGGCAAATCCGTTAACCAAGAAATTGAATTGGTGTGGCCTTACTAGCAGGTACACATTTCTACTTGTGAGTTGCAGTAAACCTCCCCTGTGCCGGCCTCCCCAGGTATAGTACAGAGACTGCGAGCTGCGTATGTCTCAGGGATCTACGGTGTTCGTCAGGCGTTCCTGGCAGCCAGCGTGGACCACTTCAGCTCCAGCTGGGGAGACAAGGGCTGGGGCTGCGGCTACAGGAACATACAGATGATGCTGTCATCGCTCTTCAGGGACCCAGTCTACAGGGACGTGCTCGTCAAATGTGAGAAAAGATAATTACCTCCGGGGAAGGAGACATCCTTCCGCGGAAGGGTTTTGTAAGAGATTTAGATTTTCATGTTCGCAGCTGTTTCTCGCGTATGGGTGGACGGATTCTTTTGGTATATGTTTTGCTATTGGGCTGCAGATGATGCATGTTCTTTTGTTTTTATTGTATATGTGTTTTCGGGTGTGAAAATGGTGCCTTTTGCTGGCCCCAGTACACCCCTTTGAGTGTGAAAATGGTCGCAACCGTTGACCTTTGGCGTGTTTAAGGTATTAACGGACTGGTCCACGAAGCTGACCCCTCGCACAGAGGGGTGTCCGGTCTCGATAAATTCTTTGTTTAAAATCCTAGTCCTGCGGCGGGCAACTTTTGTTGTTTGGAAGGTATTTTTAGTACCGGAGCCGAGGTATAAAATTTCAGATTTTACTTGTTACTACTAGAATGTACAACCTTCCAAAAATAACTTTTTTTCTGGTTGGTACAACGTAGGATATACTAGGGATTTTCCTATAAACAACCAACTTACATCTCTCACGTGCTGTTTTGTTTTCCCTCTGTTATAACTTATAGCTTCATTCTCTTATATATATAATAATAATAAGTCAAATTTTTAATTTTTAAAAGATTTATGAAGGGTCACAATGTTCTCCCCAAAAAGAAAACACCCCTATGCTGGTCGAAAGACAGTGTAGGAGTCTAAATCACAGTATAGGGAGTCCAAATCACACTGTAGGGGGCTTCTGTGGTCAAACAGCCTGGTGAGAAGAGCCTGTCTGTTGTTTTCCAGCCGTCTCTTTCATGCCGTCCATCCCTAAGATCCAGCAGATGATAGAGGAGGCATGGGGCCGCGGGTTTGACCGCGAGGGCAGCGAGCAGCTCGGGGGACGACTCCGGAACACCAGGAAGTGGATCGGCGCTACGGAAGTCGCCGCTCTCTTCTCATCATTAGGAGTCAGGTCAGTTCATCTTAGAGGGGAGTCCTTAACAAATGTTAATTTCATCGATGAAGGTTAGAAATTCAGCTGAACACCAGCCAACCACAGCCGACCTTGCTGAACACCAGCCAATCACAGCCGACCTCGCTGAACACCAGCCAACCACAGCCGACCTTGCTGAACACTAGCCAATCACAGCCGACCTTGCTGAACACTAGCCAACCACAGCCGAACTTGCTGAACACTAGCCAATCACAGCCGACCTTGCTGAACACTAGCCAATCACAGCCGACCTTGCTGAACACCCAATCACAGCCGACCTGATTGCAGTTTAATCCTACCATACAACTGAATCCTAATGGTTTGCCTGTGTTATTTTACAGAGCCCAGGTGGTTGACTTCCACCACCCCACAGCTGCAGACGGCTCCCATCCACAGCTGTTTGACTGGACTAAGAACCATTTCCGTCAGGAGGGGGCCGGAGGGAAACATCCTCTGTACCTGCAGCACCAAGGTCTGCCTTCAGTCTATGTACCTAGGCCACACTGACTCAATTTTATTTGCTCTTGAGACCCACAAAATTCCCAGCCCCCCCCCCCAAGAAAAAAATGCCGCTAAACCACAGGAATACAAAGCTGGTACTAGTATTGCGAATTTGTGCTAGTAGTAGCACATGACAATAATTTTACGACAAGCCAGCCAACCCCTTTCTCACCAATATACTGTAATGTAAAATCAGCACTCCATGGGGAAATACACGAACATGCAAACTGTGTGTATCGTGAGGAACCTCACGTCGTGCATTTCCTTGTTTTAGATACCCCTTATATACTAGTAAGCTCATACCAGCCATGGTTGGCTGGTGGTCAACTTCTGTTTGGGATTAGTTCAGCAGTGTTTCAGGCATGTTCAGGGGTCAAATTTGACTCAACTTCAACTCAAATTGGATTTGATTCATATTAAGAGGTATTTGGTAGGTGTGGCCTAAATCTGGTCAGACCACTTCTGAAGTTCAGCCGTGGTTGGTTGGTGTTCAGGGGAAGGTTTTGGAATGTATGATGGGGGCTTATATATAATTACAAAAACTGTAAATCACAATTTTTTGTACTTCTATATTCGCAGTTTTCGTGGTCACTTCTGTACTGCGAATCATTACCATGAACAAATAATTTGCCGACTTTCTTTTTTCTGCACCTGCCACCCCCTCAAACATTATAGTAATCCACGAATGTCCATTTTTGTCAGACCACAACCTTTTGCTACCGCGAACAATTCAAGTAATTTACAGTAGTTTAGAAACATCTCTCATGTACATGTACAGGACACAGTAGAACCATCATCGGCTATGAGGAACATGCGGACGGTAGTGGCAGGCTTCTCATCTTCGACCCCGGACACAACCCCAAGCAGATTGAGCCGCTGGCCCACGGTAAGATCACGGGCACACAGCTGAGGGTGCTGCGGCGTACGGTCAGCGGACTGAAGCACAACCAGTACCAGATCGTCGCCATCAGGGGCATTCTCAGTAACAGGGAGGTGCAGGTGAGTTTAGACCACACTGACTTTATTTCAGAGATTGTCCGTCCTAGGCCTTCTTCTTCTTTCTGTAAGGCGACCACCTTCAACCTATCAAAGATTTTGTCGCCGAAGAGTCCTTTAAAGATCCCAAAACTAATGTGAGAGGGCCATTGAGAAAAAATCCTGCAAAAAAAAATGCTGCTAAATCACAGTCACACCCCAGACACACACACACAGCCACAACTCTATTCTGCAGCTGGTTAATCCTTTAAGAGACTCTGAAAAATCAGAAATGACCTGAGTCAAAAGACATGAACTGTATTCCCACTCTCTTATGTGTACATGTACAATGTCATGTATTATAATAATTATGTATCGCATATGTGTAAAACTACATTGTATGTGTAATCACTCGCTCGATCACTCACTATCCGGTTTATAATTGATTTTTCATGTAACATGTATTCTTTATATCTCTTTACACGTGTATATTTTGTCTGACCCTTACCTCTTCCCTCATGACCTCAAGGAAAATTTAAAGCGGTTAATTTGTGCTCCTTATGAATCATAAAACAAAGGTTCCAAGAATCTTACTGTAAAGTTGAAAGTTAACTCATTTGATTTCCTACAGGGAGCCAAGGTGATCCAGTCAGTGAGAATACCATAGATGCCTCCAGATCTGGTGTGAGGCAACAGTTTGGACCAAATCCTCCCTGCATCAACAAGTTAGAAGAAAAATACAGTAAAAACTCCTCAACTGACATTGTATACAAAATATAGAAGTCTTCTGAATTGCAATGTTCTGTGTTCGTCCTGTGGCATTGCACAGCTGATTTATTTTTGTCCAAACATGTACATGTGTGGCAAGTCCAAGATGCTCTTTGTGCAACAAACCCTTCTTCGTGTGACAAGAAAAAAGATGAAACTATAATAATAAATAATATAATTGCTTTATATAATATCAGTGTAGAATTAATTATACTGAACACTTGATGATTCAGAACAAACTGTTTCATATGCTGAAAATGAGATATCCATTGCAATGAAGCAGTTGAACAAAAATAAGGCTGTGTACCTAGTAACTATACCTTTACCTGTAAAAATCTTAAGTACAGGTCCAGACCTGAACATCAGGCATTCCTGTACCTGAACAAAATAAATACCCCAGAATTGGGCCCCATTTTTTTCTCTAGAAATGGTAAATTTCAGCACATACCATTTTAAACAATTGAGACTAAGCAAAACTTGTACACAGGAATAATTTTTTGTATATTGTCGTTTTTAGATTACAATAATTTTCACTGTCAAAATTTAGTACTTCTACAGTAACTGTAACTGTAGCACCGATCTTATATACATGTATGCTGTCCGGAATATTATTATGTGAACCATCATAAAATGACAACATTCTACCACTAAACAATTGACCGAGCAGATAATTGGTCAAACTTGTTCAGGTCTGGACCTGTACCTGTACCTGTACCTAAAATGTAGGCACACATCTCTAAACAGAAAGGAGAAGTCCCCTGCTATATACATTTTGTAGTGCCAGTATGCTTGTTTTGGAAATTGTCATGATGGTGAATCAAACGTTGAGTTGAAAGTACATGTAACTGTAAGTGGGAAAAAGTCATTCTTCTCAGGCTGAAATACCAGGCCAAGTACGAGCATGATTCCAATGTGGAAAAAAAACATTCTGAAAAGCTGAATGAATATCGACACTTAAACTTTCTCTATTCTCACATCTCAGGTTCCCTACAGTACATACTATAGAATACATGTACAGTTACACTGACAGTATGTTCCGTATCAGCCAAGGTATCAGCCCGACTGTCAGTGTTGTATTTTATTTATGTCGTACCCACCTAGGAAGACACATATTAGTCTTTCAATCTGAATCCAGTACTAGTATTCAAATTTTTGCAAGCGGTCTACGTATAATGTATACTTGACATACGCAAAACACGCTCCTTTATGGAACATTTAGAAGCTGTTACCGTTAGAATCTCAGTGTGATACTCTCCAAGCAGAGGTTTGGGTTATTTTTGGCTTGTTTTCAGACTTTTTTTATCAGGGTTTCTTTTTTGCACTGGAATTTTTCTTTCACCCAAAAAAAAAAGAAAAATTCCAGTGCAAAAAACAAACCCCGACAAAAAAGGCTAAAAACACGCCAAAAATAACCCAAAACCCAAACCTCTGCTTGGAGAGTACCAGACTGAGTATGATACAGTAACTGTTGTGAACACCTGTTATCATGGCATAGGTATAATATAAACCATGATTATCCCTATTATTAGTAATAGATCACTGTATACTGTCTAGTACTTTATGACTCATTCGTATGTCCAGTGGTGTTGTAGGGAACTTTGAGATGTAAGAAAACTGATGACCTTCTCTAGAAACTGCAAAGACACACCCAACATGTTAAAGTTTCAGTCAGGTTGATTATTGGATACGTTGTAAGGCCAGCAACTGTTGACATGCTGCAAAAGCTAGGTGTAATCAGCTAACAGATAAATCTATCAAGTCTAGTGTCTACAGGTGGTGAAACAATGTACATGTTATAATGTAGTAAGTCATGGGTTGCAAAGTGTACTCCTATATCTGGGATATTTATTCAGTCTACAGTACAGATCTGGAATAACTGTGTATGCACGCATACAAGCTAAGTCAAAATCAAAAGTCTTGCAAAATGCATTTCAAAGCTGTGTATTTCTCAGTTAAAATGCCTGCAAAAACTGTGCACTTCTCGTTTAAATCACGTTCATTTCTCGTGTAAAACATGTTTAGATGTCCGTGTAGTTTGGTGTGGATATGTGTTATTATAATTAGTAAATAGCTGTGAACAATTACAGCCAATTAGTGCACATGGTTTATATGACTTTTGCATGAGTTAAAACTGCATTTTGCATGCCTTTTACACGGCTCTCAATTGTGATTTACACTACTTTTAGACGAGAAATAAACAAAACCATCTATAAAACGTGTTAAGGGAAGTTAATCGAGAACTGTACTGTATTTGCCCGATTTTTACTATTTTCCAGCAACTCATTGCAGTGTGGTAGAGACTGGTGACGTAGCATAGCTGAGGAAAAGTGTGCTGATCTGCATTGCGCACAAGACTGCGATGGCAATATTGATGAAAATATTATATGATGTATAATACGAGATATGGGCATATTTCTTCTGTACATTTGCAACAGTTACTATACATGTACTTTTTCTATACTTTTGCAACTATTGTACATTTTATAGGTGTTACATCTATTCACCATATCATTGAGCCATATAGAACTGAAAAAAAACAATAGCAAAAGAACTTTCACACACACATACCCAACAGTAAAATAGCAAGAGAAACTGCAATAATGGCAGACAAAATTTATATCCAGCTAACTCGGTCACCTTTTTGCCTTATAGTATTGTATTTGTCCACTATGGAAAACCTGCAGCAATGCTTGACTAGGAAACACATGTACAGTAAACATTGCTAGTATTGCTGTCGCTTTAAATTACATTGTACTGTATCAATGGAAATACCTGGTTGTATCTTTTGCCATGGAGAGAAATATTTGGAAAGGGAGTGTACATGTACTTAGTCTAGCTTTTCTTATTGGCCCTCTTTGCATCAAGCTAGCTTTTATACAATGTACATTAGAATTCACTTTCAAATTGTTTATTCAGCTGCTTCAGAGATTAAATATTGAATGTTATGAAAAAGGAACTTAAGTTTATGTTACGTGTACTACAGTTGTTTAGGCCACACCAATTTAATTTGTTGGTTCTCGGATTCGCCTCTTCATTTTTTTCTCATTTGCAAAAAAAAAAAAAAAATTCTGGTTCTGAATCATCTAAAAAATGCTCATATTTTGCTCCCAACAGTTGAGGAAAGTCCTTTTCTTCCTAGTTGTTACTGTTTTTCAATCTTATAATGCAGTGGTTTGGTTAAAAGTTCAAAATTCATTGTTTAAATTTTATCCCAGCCTTTTGTGTTGACTTCATGGCTCCTATCAAAGCATTTGGGGAGATAATAGGATGCCTAGGCCTGTTTTTATTTTTATTTTTTTTCGCCCTGTCGCTTCATATTTTTTCTGAAAAAATCCGAGAACCAACAAATTAAATTGGTGTGGCCTTAGATTCGAATAGAATGTCACACTTTCTAAAAGTTCCCATAACAGTGACTGAAGTATAATATTATAACACTGGAATATGACAGTATTTTCAAACGTTTATTGAAGTTAGAAGTCACCCTTGATTGGGTGCGTGTTTTCTTTTATATATTTTTATGCAAAATGTTTACAAAAGCAGGTGCAATATTGTCAACATGTGTGGATGTTTGTGTATCTGAAGCTGTATGTTGGTGATAAATAAAGAGATGTCAAAAGAAGCTGAAACACAGGTACCCTAGTTTCACTGTACAAGTCTGTGGGGTTAGTTCTATCTATGAAAATAGCATCTACCAGATTATCATGAAAGTTCATCTCTGTTGGTAGTAATCATTATGATAGTAAAAAGTTGAACTTTATTATAACACACAGTTTACAGGGAGATCACATTTTCAGCGACCACTGTCGCCTTCATCAGGATAATTAATGACCAATCACTTAATGACCATCGCGAGATCACGTTGTGAAGTGATTGGTCATTAATTATCCTGATGAAGGTGACAGTGGTCGCTGAAAATTTGATCTCTCTGTAAACTGTTCAACTTTTTACTATAAAAAGCCTCTACCAGGTTTCAGAAGTGGCCAGAAAGAGTAGAAACTGGCCAAATAGACGGACGACATGTCGAGAGTTGGTCTGCTAAAGTTGAGTTTGCCACACTTCTTTAGCAGAATTCCCCACAGCATTTTTATTATCTTTGGCCGATTTATACTCTCTTCAACCTCCTGAAGCAATGAGTAGCCTGGAAGAGGCTACTCATTGCTTCAAGAGACACTGATAGTGATTTTAACTCTTTCAGTGTTGACTAATAAGAACAGTGTTACTGGTAGGGAGATTAATTAATATTTGAAGCTCCTTGGTCTCATGTAAAGCTCCTTTGTCATTACTGAGGGCCTTCGCACTGGTCATACCAAGTCATACCATCTTTACTACAGGTCTGTGACCGAAAACAAATATAAACGACGCACAAAGGTCTCAAGTCAGTGTGCATTATTCCAATTGGATGTTATTAACACCTCAATGTGATTCAAGTTTGAAGTTCACACCAAATGCAAACATCGAAAAACGAAGATGCGAGAAGCCACACAAGTTTTCTAAGCCCGTTCTGTTTGCATAATTCGTTAACTTGGAAATGTGCGTAAATAAGTCTGTTGCCTGTTTTAAAAAATTTACATAAAATCACATTATCAGCTAGGACATCGGCAAATGTGAAATTGCGTGAAGCACTTTCACATAAAATAACATTCTGACCTGTTATGTGAAAAAAAATGTGATTTGAACTTTGAAATTTCACATTTGAGTCCTTGCAGTTTGCGGGGTAAAACCGCTTCACATTTCTTCACATTTTCTCACATTTTGCATTCACATTTTTTGTCACGTTTTCTGGTTTTGTGATTTCACATAATCGATTCACATTTTTCAAACGGTCGCATTATTTCACATATAATAATTTGACGTTTCACATTTTGAAAAATAATCACATTTTGGGTTTTCTGATGGGATTCACATTATATCACATTTTTTCACATTTCCTTGAAATTTTGCACAAAATTCACATAATTTTCACATTTATGCACCTGGTAGTGTAAATCCACAGTCACGCACAATACGTACGGCGGAATGATTCCAATTTAGTCTTTCTGACGAAGACAACTATGTCTGAAGGGTTTTAATTCTCTTTTGTAAACCATGGAGAACATAATGTCCCACCTTTTCTAAAATTGGTGGTGTTCGGGAAATCGGTTCGGGAATGTGTTACAGGGGCTTAACAGACGCTACTCAAACTGGAAGGTAAGATCTGTTCCCGCCATTTTCTCCCTGTGGATCGCCTCCAGAGTCTCGTTCTCTTCCACGCTGAACCAGTTCTTCCAGTCACCAACCTCTCCTGAAGACAAGATCGTTACGTTTCATGTAAAGCATCACTTTTCTCTGTACCCTGTGCCAACGAAAGGCATCCAATGCAATTCCAGGGCGGCAAGATAAAAATAATAGTCTGGAGGAGAACGTCTGTTTGATATTAAGACATTTACTGCACATTTTTTGTATCATTTCATACCTGAAGCATTGTAATAGCTGCAAATCAAGCTCTGTTTTTGCCTTAGATATCAGTGTTTTATGGTACAGGGTTGAAATTACTACTTTCCAAAATCGGACCACATACTTGTATATTCTATCTAATAGTATATATCTATCTCATGAATATAGACCTGGATATAGATAGATAGATAGATAGATAGATAGATAGATAGATAGATAGATATTAGATAGATATATTGATAGATAGACAGATAAATGTATAGATACATACATACATACATACATACATACATACACACATATATATGAGATATATATATACATATCAAATAGATAGATAGATAGATAAAAAGGTACCCTTTCGTATAAACTCGATCCCACTCCCTTTCGCCTTGCTGAAAGCCTCCTGTATGGTTGGGTCGCGGGTGAAGTTTGTTGATGGACTCTTCTTCATAGCAGTGAAGGTACAGTTGGCCACCACCTTGTCAACGCGCTGGTCTGACAGTGTCTTTCCCAGGAAGTTTGCAATCTTCACAACGTGACCTCGTAGGTCCTGTGTACATTAAGAAGGCTGTAACTGCGTGAAAGCTAATAGGCCTACTCAGAAAGGTGTCTCATTACTTGAAACCAACTCAAAACAAGAATTCGGAGATCTCATACCTCCATGAAATATGTAGAATTTTTGTAAATGTTTGTCTATTGATTATTGAAATAAGGGACATAATTACCATGATTTATTTTAATTCATAACTGTCTACACTCAAATTACAATATTTTGCATGTGAAATTCCTATCCTTTGGCAATGTTTCGTTTTAACATGGCCTCATTAATTATGCAAATACAAACACACAGGCACACACACAGACACACCAAAACAATACCTCCATGTTTCATGGAGGTAGTTATGGAACTCCCTGCCAAACAAGTGTTTTCCTTCCGAATACAACCCTCAAACCTTTAAATGAACAGCCATCTTTCTCATTCTCGTGTTACCTTGCTCATTGCCTTGACGTGGTCATTTCGCTTTACATTCAATACCACCGTGAGAGTTAAAAATATATATATTATATATATAATCACCTGCTTCATGTCCTCATACTTGATGAAAAGCATGTTTCCGTCGTCCTTGTGTCGCCAGTACTCCGGGATCACGTCCCACCAGAAACCGTTGTAAGCTGGGGGTCAAAACACATGACACTGATGCTCACTGATCGAGGTACAAAGTAGGTAACGTTACCTAGGTCTCAGTACCTTAAGGGGCATTATGTAACATTTTGCACTAAAAATTGAACTATCTTAAGTGAAAAATAATATATGTAGTTAAGGCCATGTTGATTTGATTATATGGATGACATCCGTGCGCGCATGAATTTTCGGCCGTTTCCAAAAAAAAGAAAGTTTTCAACCATACTGTAAATCGTACAAAACAGTTGCAAATTGAACAAAAATATACCATAAGTTACAAAGAAAATTAATAAAAACTATACCAATGTCGTAGAATGCCAAAATCAAACGAAAAAAGACGAAATTCTAAAGAAATGAACTTGAAGACTAGATTATTCGCCAAACCATATTCTGTGCCATTTGCTCAACCCTCATGACCACGTAGATTTCATAATGAAAAGAACTTTTTTTTTTTGTGCAAAACTTTTTTTTAATTCGCACGCTCGCATCAGTTTTGGGGCTCCCGGAGGATGTCATCCATATAATCAAATCAACATGGCCAGTGTAATTCACTTCCAATTTTCAACATATTTGTTGTGTGCAAACGGCTTTAATTATACATGGATATTAGTTTACGAATTATACTAAGTAATACCTTGTTCTGGTGTGATGAATTCCTTGAAGTTTTCTTCCCAGGTTCCACAAGGAAGATTATGAGTCATCAGTCGCATGTTATGCCAGGACACAACCACATCTTTGACGTTCCTCGCACAATAGATGATCTGGGGTAAGAAAGTATACCGCGAGGCATACAGTCAAGTTGTGAGGACCAATCATTAACAGTCATATTGTCGTACCGTAGATTGTACTAGTGATAAAGCTACTTCACAGTCTCTACTAAGAATGCTCAAAAAGGTATATAAAAACTTACTCAAACTATGAGATATCAGACTTTTCACTGTGTTTTCAAAATAAGCCATCTACTGATGCATGGTATTAGCTGTTGGTTACTTCAGGCGAAATCTGCACCAGTGGTTAACCTACTCTTGTTCATGTCTTGTCACTGGTGGAGATGTTGCTTGAAGCACATTTTGAAAACACAGTGAAAAATCTTAATTTACACTGTCCAATATCTTGCCACTACTGTATCAAAAAGGGTGCAACATTTAGTTTCAAATGTTGAAGGACGGTATTAAAACTACACCTTTCCTTTCCCGTCCCTGGCTTGCCGAGGTAACATGTAATAGGGCAGGTGCGTTTTCATCAGGCGCGGAGAGGGGGCGCTCTTCAGCACTTTCGGCATGGGCTCGCCAGTTCCCTTCATGTCCAAAGTTTCTAGCCAAGGAGTCCGCCGCAGGATCGGAACTTTACAAACTTCGCTGATGTCGCCTTCGGCACACACCAGAGAAACGATCTGTTGGGTCCATGTTGTTCCTGGAACAAGAAACGATTTTTTAAAATGTTTCCTCCCGATGAATGGGGATGTCATCGAGCAACGTCACTCTGGAACACCCTCTCCACTCACGCTCACACTGCCACCACAAATGCCTTCTTTGAAAGAAAGCTCTGGGATTGGGCGACCCGTACATCTGTACACACTGACCTCTCCACATAGATTCTACAGATTCATTCCTCCATAGATTTAGTTATTTTTATTTAGTACATAGCATAATGTTACTACTGGCAGACTGTTCACATTATACTACTACTAGTATGTTATTGTATACATAATGTCTTGTCACTATAATGTCAGCAGGGCAGGCCCTTTGTAATAGCCGCATTTTTCGCTTGTTGTAAGGGCCAATGCAGCACTTATTCTGAGCTCCAATGTAGCTATAGGGTTGTCCTAAACTGCACGAAGGGACTCACGTCGTGTACATCTATACCTGAGGTACCCAAATTATAGCTCCAATGCGTCAACATGCTTGGTATTCAAGTCTCTTTGAAAATATACCAGAGAAACTATCTGTTGGGTCCATGTTGTTCCTGTTGTAAAATTAAAAAAGCTGCTTTGGCGTAGCTGTGTAGCATTGACACTCGTGTGTGCTGTTATAATTATGCAGCTTGCAAAAACGTAGAAGATCATTTTTGCAAGAACAAGAAACGGGAAAAAAAGACGAAAGCTTAATGAGATTCTTACCCGATTTAAGGTAAGCTGAGATGAAGACGTCGTCGTCCCTTACTTCAAATGATTCCACCATGTCCATGGCGTCCGGGCTGTGAATAGGACCGAACTTCACTCCGTTGTAGTAGAACGGCCGGGGACGATCTTTACTATTGAAGAGATCCATGGTGTTCTCGTGTGCAGTCAGTCTGGCTTCAGGAAAAGGCCACTGGTGAATACAACAGATCAAACTTTAATCAGACAAATGGAACGTCTGAAGCTTTCGTCTGGAAAGGATGGAAATCGTCTGTCTGCCAACACGCCATAGCATGAGATGTATAGCTCGGGTGGACTGCATTTATATTTGGTTGCTAGTTAGGGGTCGGTGTGATCTCGAAAAGATTTGTTTTCGGGACTTCTAGAGGCTTGTTACGGAAATTCCGGTTTTGATATCTTCTGATCTGGACATGGTACAGTAACGAATTTTGGTGGTAGATAGCTCTTGTGCTAAAAAAGAAATCTAGTACTTATAAGTTTTGAGGCCCCTTCAACTGCAGGAGCATTTGTCGAAAAGGTTTTAAACTTTAAAGGCTGATAACTCAAGAACCAGTTACAGATTGCCGTGTTTTTTTGTACGAAAGTAGTTAAACTTATGCTTTACATATTAAATAGATGACAATTGTGCAAATTAGGACCTACTTTGCAAAATTGATGAGGGAATGAAATACGGCTGTATACATTCTATCGTCTGCAATCTTCCATGATATGACTAACGTGTGACTCTGTTTAGAACGAGAGGAACATGCATAGATATTTTTATGTAAATGATGGTCTTCTTTGCATAATTAATTAGGAAATGATATATTTAGAAAGTGGTAACTGCGTGGAATTTCCTATTTGGAGGTAAAGTGAAGGTGAACATCATTTCTCGTAATTTATTAAATTCAGAACCGCATTATTAATGGTAGTCTACGTCCATAAAGCGGATGGGGGGGGGGGGGGTCGGCTTACGAGGCCTAGCCTGGGTTCCGCTACCCTCCGTGGTTTCCGCCCGCTCCCTGCTGGCTACCACGGAGCCAGCGACATTAGGGAGCAGGCCGGCGGAAACTACAGATCATCTAGAGGATGGCAGCACCCAGGCTAGACGAGGCCGGGTCGCCGGGTGTAACCTAGCCTCCTGTGCAGGCCTCCGGGCAGGTGGGAGTTCTGATACTGCGTTTTGTGGAATTTATACTAGTAACGTGTTCTTTTGCCGACCATCCTACAACCAGCCGCCCAGTGAAGGTGGGTACAAATCTTCACTGGGCGGCAGGTTATAGGATGGCCGGCAAAAGAACACGTTGAAAATTCTACAAAACGCAGTATCAAAACTCCCACCTGCCTGGAGGTCTGTACAGGAGGCTAGGTGCTACCAGGAAAACGTGAGCATGTTCTGCTAATTAGATATTACCTGCGAATGTTAGCTGTCAAGTGGAAAAGCCTAAAAGTATACAGGTGACTGACTCACAAAAGGGCTTTCATGATTTGTTTTGCTTTCACAAACCATAACAACATCTACTGTAAATGAGAAGGCAAGCGCATTCGCACACGATGACAAAGATTCTGACACAACATCTAGTTAACTTTAACACGACTGTAAACAAGAATGCTACGCAGGAGCTGTTGGGTAATCATAACAACAACTTTTGGTGTAATATGACACGTCCGCCCCTTTGACGTTTGTTCTGGAAAAATTAGGTTTCAAACACCGACATAACCTCTGTTGTAATCCCGTTGTTCCAGTAGGCAAAAGAAAAAAAAGAGGTTTTCGCTTAACAAGCCTACACTACATAATTTCTTGCTGCAAGACAATAACAAGAGTTCTGAGATCTCATACCTCCCCCCCCCCTAAGCGGCATCTTTAGTCGGACTGTTTCACGGTTAACGTCGGCGGGTGTGTTCGCGTGGCATTTCCACCGTGTGTATTGTAATTTTCGTCAGTCAGACATCAATCAATCAATTAAAGTTAAACCAAAGTCGAGTTCTGTATACGTATGTTTAAGTACTCTTCAAGCAAAGTTAGATGGGGGAAGGATCGTTGCGTTTTTTTGTTCGCTACCGATGGTGGGGGT